ATCAGGATAAAACAATCTGAGCTACAATTTTATCTTTATATTCTTTATTGTGCTTCTACTTCACAGCATTCAGTTCTATTTCCTCTAGGCAGGTATAAAACACACCTGTGTTACAGATGAAGCTCCATAACATCTGCAATACACATTTTAAATCACATTTTATCACTTAATCTAACTGAAATCACAACACTGAACAGGCAGAAGTGAACATCTGCACATCTGGAACTAAATACTTTAGGCAAGGAAAACATCTTTGGATACAAATCAAATTCACTAAAGCAAAGATGATCTTCTATTAGCTTGGCCTTTGCTAGTGACTAAACAAGCCCAAGTGAAAACAGCAGACTGTATTTTTCACTTCGTGAATGTCATGAGAGGAAAAGATATAACAGATAGTTCAAAAACTCTAGGTACACGCATCACTAGATTTTCACTAACTACCATCCAGGATGGTTATGATAGTTTTAGACTTTAAAGTGCTATTACCCGTTTATTTTGAGGCTGTTCCAGTGCAGGATCAGATAACTGCAGGAAGGGGTTAGTTCTTATAATTTGAGGGGTGAATGTGGCAAAAGTGCATCTAGATTCATACATTTCTAACTACAGAAATGCTGAGTCTTTCTAGTTCATGAAATGCAGTAACACGATATATAAATGTAGGGGGAGCACCAATTTTTTAAAATATTCATTAACCAAAGCCAAGCTTTCCTCCTTGTTAGGGTAAATCCAACAGCCCTGCTATGGAATACAGTCTACCAGCCATTCTTCCTCCTCCTGCCATCTGAACAGCACAGATTTAGGCTATTTCTCTATTTTCTTTCCATCCCTACTGCGACTTCAACTTCAATTGCTCTTCTACACCAATTTATCACTCCTCAATTGTTTCCTGAAGGCTATTGGTATTAGACTCCCTGTGCCACAGACTGCATTAGAGCGCCAATTGCAGGTATTTATGGTGTGTATCTATGATTATCTCCCATTATGACTCTTAAGAAAAAGTTGTTCATATTTCAGTACTGACTGAGTTTTCACCTTATTTGTGCTTTCACTTCACCCAGAAAATTACCCATTTTATGATCCCATTTAAAGAAATAATATGCAGCACTGTTACTACCATTACATCAAAGAAGTAGTGGCACCTAGACCTTTGTTATGAATTACATGTTTCCACTGTATTTCAAAGATGCTCAAGAGGCTGCATGCTACAGAAAATAGCCTGAAAATGGGTGTTTTATGAGGAACTTCAGGCCTACAATATTCAGTGAGAGAATGATGAGCTTTTTTCTCCTTACTAAAATGAGCCACAGTTTCCCCTTAAAACCATATGCTTTCAGCTGGCTGTGTAATCTCCAGACACAGGCATTGCAGCTGCTGAACTATCTCAGAAGTTCTCAGAACCAACACCTACAGTAAGTAGCCAATTTAAGCAGATGAGAATTATTAGCTCCAGAATAATTATAGAATAATTTAGGTTGGAAAAGTCCTTTTAGATCATGGATTCCAACTGTTCACATGTGACATTCTGCTTGCTGATAATTAAGCTGCAGTCTCTCCTAACGTTGAAGTTGCACAGCCTAAAATAAGGTGGGAAGTGCTTGAAACTCAGGGTCTTTGAATGAACACAATTAGGTCTACATCACAGCACTTGCTAGTTCAAGGCATAAGAGCCCAGACTTCACTGAAATAGGTTAATTGCTACCTCTAACAAAAAGTCTTATGAGAAATACAAAGAAAAAATTATTTTGGTAGAAATAAGTTCAAGTTTGCTAGAACTGAATCACTGGATTTATCCTATGTTAAGAAGAATTAGTTATTCATTGCACCATTTGATTTGCTCATATAAGTAAATTAACTTAATCATTCTATACAACATTATTGATAAGTTCCTTCATAATGCTTACAGTTAATGCTTATTTACTCTCCCACTGTGACAAATTAGACCACCTACTCAGACACTGTATTTATTACTGAAGGAACACACATGGAGTGCTAAAAGCCTGCAATAATACAACTTCAATATTTAGTTGCCTTTCCAGGCAATAATCTTGATAGCTAAATAGTTTAGTTCCCCTTCATAAAACCAGAAGAAATATAGCAGTGATACAGCGAACCCGAAAAGCTTAGTTGATGAAAAAAAATAAAGGAGAATCTAAAATGGAATTTTCCTGAAGTATAACAGTACCAGTGATCAGCACCATGATGAACTAATAGTGGACACTGTATATTTCAAACACTCTTTATGTGCTGCTTTTTAGCAAAGGTGTTTGGAAAAAAAGCTAAAAATAAAGACCACATTGCTAAAAAGCTAACCCTGGCCTTAAAGTTCAAAGAGCTTTTCATCCAGCAGAAGACACTCATAATGTGTGGCATGAGACCACAAACGTGTCTAGGGAAAAAGCCAAGTCAGAGGCTGTTTTCATACGTGTTACTCAGAAATGTTTCCAGTGCCCTAAAAGTTTATTTTTTCTATTCCGTAAGTGGTTTAAAAATAGTTATTATTCAATTTTTCCATGTATATTATCCTCTATTATTCAGTTCCACTGTGCTGAAGTTGCTCTAATCCCTGACATCCCACTGAGGTAACCTGCACCCAAAATTTGACAGGAATCCAGTTCACCGTGACTTTCATGTATTTATACACAGGTTACTTCATTAACAGACAGAGCAGCCTTAGCGCTTAATGACATAAGTAATTAATAAACACATACGTAAATCTTCATCTGATTAAGTTCTTGTGGTATGACAAGCAAGCATGGTTTGTATCAAAAGTACTGCTAAAATTGCTAAAACAATTTTAGGCCAGTGTTTCAATTGCTGCATATCAGAGCTCTATCCAACATCAAACGAGTCATACAAATCAACACACCTGAAAATTCAGGACAATCTCAGCCTTTAATAACACATCACAACAAAAAGATCTTCAGGAGACAAAACATTGCTTGTGGAAAAAGATAAAAAATTGAAAAGCTCAGGAAAAAGGGAAAAACCTACTGCCACACAAAAGAAACTAATCTCATGTATATGGCTTGCTTTGATTCCACAACAAAGATAGATTTTACTAACACTGCTCAGCATGAAAAACAACACCAATCCCATACAAATTCATCTGAGTATTTTTGAATGGACAGGACTTCAGATTCTGCCTGACAACAGTTGCTCAATTATGTGTTACTTTTATTACACACAAACTTGGCAACAGCAGAGAACGTATGTCTGGGATAATCCTCGAAAAATTTACTAACACTTCAAGATACACAGGCCAAGTTACAATATGGAGAGATCCTTAAAATACTTCATTTTGCATGTAATTATTCACTGATAACAGAGGGAGCAGAGTGAAGTTTCAGATTCGGTAATAAATTAAATGCAATTGCTTCTTCTGTACAAATTGTAAAATGAACATCTCGGTTGATGTCCTGGTGCCAAAAGGATGTTTCAACAAAAACTGTGTTACCAGGAAAGTCTTACATCACTAAGCAATTTACAGCTCTACACTGGAAGTATCATGTGAAAACATACAGCTCCCAAAACAACCTTAGCATACATCCATTCCTCAAGCAGACAGAAAAATAAATGCTGGCATTAAGGCCCCTTTTTTTTTACCATTTAATATTCACCACTCCAGTGTCAACCAAGTTCATCACAAAAGCCAACTTCTGTCTTGTGTTTGCCAAACTATAAATAGACCACCAAATGATGAATGATAGGCTGATACTTCTACTAGCTCTTGAGACTTGACCAGTTCTTGAAACACTGTAATATCCTGAAAGGATTTATCCACACTTCATATCAAATGCACTGAAAACAAGCAATGAAAAAAATCAACGCACATTAAGTCAAGAGCAAAACTTGGTGTCAAAATCTGTTCCGATTTAAGAAACTGTTAGACAAAACAACATTTATGTTTTATTCTGAAATCCTACATTGAGATTACCATACCAGTGACAAGCATTTTGAAACATCGAGAATCATATCACAGCCAAACCACAAAAGATAATGACACAGACACATACTCCCACTCTTATAAGAGCCTTCTGCTTCCAACAGCTTCACTGAGCTCGGTTAAAAAATAGCAACGGCAAAACAAGAAAAGGAGAGTTTCAAAATAAGTAAAACAATAAATCTTAAGATGCAATAGCCATGTTTTCACCTTCCCAAAGGCAGCTTAGTCAAAGCTCCTTTCAGAGCACAGTTTTGTAGCATCTCTGGAAACGGACACCTCTGCAGGGAGGGTGCTGCTACCCCCGCACAGGAAAGGTTAGCGAGCTACAGAACTCGAGTGTATGGAGAGGAAACAGCCGAAGCACTACAGCACTCACATATTAATATAACTACAGGAGAGCTGCAAGGCGACAGCCACAGCTCCATTCTGCATTTAAGCGAGAAGGGAATGAGAGAACAAGAACCAGAGAGGGGAAAAGTTTCCTCGTCTTTCCTTGAAGCAAATGTAAATTCGTTCATTAGCTCCTCAAGCTTTCAAGAACAGTTACATAAAAATATGTAAAATCGGTAATGCTTAGAATAGGATTCCTTCCACTTCAAAAGGCTGTGCCGGATAAACCCTGAGACACGCGAGAGATGGACGGGAGAGGCCAGCTCTCCCTCCTGGAGCAGGCTCCGGCCAGCTGAGGCACAGGCTGGGTTCACGCCTGCCGGCAGCGGGCCGGCTGGGGCTGCGTTTCTCTCGCGTACACCAGCCCCGCACGGACGGGCAGCGGGGCTGCGGGGCTCTGGCATCTCGGATGCACACAGCCGGCAGCTGCGGGAGGCTGATGGGGTTTTACGTGCCATGAAATGGTGGATCTGACTATCGGGCACATTTTATGATAGGGAGAGATCGTGAGCCTCTGCAAAGCAAATCCGGGCAGGGATAGCAGGAGGCAGGCGGGGAGCAGGACCGGCAGCGGCAGGGCCTGGAGGACTGTCAAGCCCAGCCGCCTCCCCCACGCCGGGCCGGGCGGCCCCAGCCCGGGCCCCCCCTCCGCCAGAGCGGTACTTACGTGAAAACAAAAAATAAAGTAGTCGAACCCACTAATAAGGCAGCTGCTGTGGATACCGGGATGTATTTCGTAGGTTTAAACCTCTTTCCAGTGCTGCTGGGCATCCTGTAGTTTACACATCACTATGTAAATCCAACCCGAGAGGAGGGAGCCGGGAGGATGCGGGTCCCTCCGGCGCGGGGAGAGCGGGACCCGGGCGGCTGGGAGGGACAGCAGAGGGACGGGAGCAGCTGACCTCCAGCACAGGAAATCCCACCCACACCGCCCAGCCCACTCGGCTGATGTCAACCAGCCCCTTAAGGTAGCGCTGCGGGGAGATGGGAGCGGGGCGCTCGGAAAGGCGGCGGAGCTGGGGCTGCTCGGGCCGCCCGCAGCGCGGCAGCCCCTGCCGACGGAGAGCCCCCAATTCTATGCTTTCTACAAGACACCACCCCCCTCCGAAAAGAAAAATGGCAATGCAGTGAGCTCCACAGGGCGCTGTGTGGGACGCCGAAGCTCCTGTAGCAGCTCCCCGAACAGCGGGGCTCTAGAGGGGGCTGCGGACGCGGCACCGCCGCAGCAGCCGCGGAGCGCTGCGGGGTCCGCGCAGGGAGCGGCTCCGAGCGCGGCCCCGCAGGACAGGGCCAGCTGCAAGCGAATCCTGCCGTGCTTGTTCAGGGAATAAACCCTGCTTTTCATTCTGCTACACCCGGAGTCACAGCATTAAGGAAACTGCTGCACTCTGCCAAATTTAGCTGATTCCAAGATCCATAACTGAGTGCAAACATAACTGAAATTACACTATACTCTGTTCTTTTAAAATCTATCCATTAGCATCCAGAGGCAGACAGAAGAGGTAATTTAAGGTAACAACGGAAAGTTCACCGAATCAGCTTTCCCAAGAGCAGTGTGAGAATGGCTCCTCTGTTCACACTCGGGGGCACCACCCAGCAGCTTGCCTGTCTCAAGGAAACCCACCGATGGGAAGAAGGGTTTAGGGCCATTTGGAAGTTTGGAAATCAAGACCAGGAGCTGCATACATCCCGCTCCCTCCCTCCTTTGTTTTTCAGCTAATCCCTCTTCTGCAGCTGCCAACATGCAGATAAAGTAACCCCTGCCTAACACAAAAGCCACATTTGCAGCATCTGCTGGGTGTTGTTAAAAGCAAGCTTGCCCTAGAAGGCAAACACTGCAGTGCTGTTCAGAAAGGACATTTGTAATTTTTCATTTTAAGAGACTTGATTAGTTCCACAGTCCTAGAAGTCTTAAGAACAGAACAAGTAAAACCCAACCAAAAATCTGTCAAGGTCCTCAACTTTGCTGTTTGCAAAAAAATACCCCCACAACCACAAACCAAACAAAAACCCAAATTTTGAGCATCAGCTTTAACAAAAGCAAAGCCATCAAGTTCCAGCCTGAGGATATATGGCTATGTGAAATCTAAGCTTTTGCTAATAACTGCCCTTCAAAAAACAAAAAACAAAA